TGGCTCGTCCAGAAGCACCACCGACGGGTTTCCCAGGAGGCTCAGCGCGAAGCACAGCTGGAAGGGGAGGAACCGCGTCTGAAACCGACCTGGGGGTGCCCAGAGGAGCACCCAGCCCCACCCCTACCTTTCTCTTTACTCCCTCGGGTAAAGCCTTCACGGGGAGCTTCAGCTGCTCCTGCAGCTTGAGCGCATCCACCAACCTGAAGGAGACAGAGTGTTACAGGCTTCTGGATAACAAGGAATGTTGATGGGAGAAGGGCCAGGCGGGACACGCGTGGGGACCAGAGCTCAGAAATGCGGTTCTGAAAATGACACCCAGTCATCTCACACTGGCTGATCCCCTGAAAAAACAGCCTTTCTTTTAAAAAGAAAATGTAGGCACATTTCAGGATATCAGATAGCTGCCCTATGATAGTTTAAATTTTAGTATTTTTGATAAATTTTTACCAATGGTTTTTCCCCCCATATTCAATATGAGAGGAAAAAACAAAACAAAACACTTTGAAATCCAGGAAATTAGTTTCTAGTTGGAAATCTACCCATTGTGGCCCGGGTCTGTGTTCAGAGCCCCCGCCCTGAGCTTCCATGAAGGCCGGCCCTCCCATCCGTCTCCCCATCCCCTCAGGGGAGAACAGATGTGTCTCCCCCGTGTACCGAGTGACGGCGGCCATGGCATCTGCTTTCCTCAGCCCTTTCACGGCGGCGAACACCTCCAGGTGCTCCTGCACCGTCAGGCTGGGCCACAGCGCGTTCTCCTGGGGAAAGTAGCCCAGGAACCCCAGGGCGTCCCCTCCGCCGCGCCCTTTCAGTAGCACCTGCAGAGGAAAGTCCCCTCAGAGCCTGCAACCTCTGAGTATTGGCATGACGTCGTTCTCTTTATATTAGGTTCAGTGATAATCTAGCAAAGAGGAAACCATTCAGAGCAGGAATACCCAAAACCAGGTGTGTGCAAAGCAGTGCATCGACCTGTGTTGAGAAATGAAACACCCCTGACTTGCCCGAACTTGCCTTTGCAGTTGAGATCTTGCAATCAATTTCCTCATTATCAGCAGGACCAAGCACCTTAATTTTTCAGAACTTGCTTTCATTCCCACCACTTTGTTTTTTTATTGCTCCTGTGTCACAGACATTGCGCAAAGAGCTTTGTCCAGAAAGGAGAACAAAGTAACTAGAGTTCCTGACCACGTGGTGTTTCCATTCTGTGGCGCCAGGAGCGAAGAGTCAGTGAATTGGATAAATGCAGCTTGTGACTGTTCCTTTGAAAAAAATGTTTAGGAGGTTGGGTTGCAGAATAACAATGGAGTGACTCTAGGCAGGATTCTGCTTGTTGGAGCACTAGAAAAAAATCAAATAAGCAACTTTGGGGGGAAAAGCACAAGAAGCGTCTTCTGAGAAGAAAAAGGGAATAATTCATATTTGCAGATTGCTTGAGATGAGGAAAAATGGATAAAGACGGTGAAATTCAAACACAAAAGCAAATGCATTTGCAATTTAGCAATAAAGACAAAGACTTATAAGTAAAACATAAGAAAACCATTTAAAAATATTTCTTAAAGAAGCTTGTCCAGATTGGACACATTGGACAAACATTGCACAGAACATTGGCTCTGGATAAGTAATTTTTTTTTCCCTTTATACATACTTTGTAATAGTTTTATCTGTGCTGGAAAAAAGAAAATGCAAACCTACAGACATACAATATAACCATTAGTTACACACAAATACAAACATATATGTGTACATTTGTATTTAAACTATTCACATTGTATAATAAACATAGTAGCAAAGATTATAAAGTGAAATTTCTTTTTCCTGAAACTTCAGAAAAGCAGAGATAATCATTATAATCATTACTCATAAATGATTCTTCCAAATCAACGTGGTCAATAATCAAGTCCAGAAAGGAATCCCGCTGCTGCTTTGCGGTCACCAGTTCACCTCCCCCTTTGTCCAAATGTCTGCTCATGGCCTTCTAGGTGACAGGATGTGGCTACTTTGTCTTGCATGGGAAATGCAGCTGTGAAAGACGCAGCCTTTGCGCTTGAACACAGAAGGCGTGGCAGACAAGTGATGCAGCACACAGCTCACAAGCACTTACCACATACCTAGCATGCCCAGGCTCTCTCAAGTTCCTTGAGGCGTTCCGGCCAACAACCCAGGAAAAGACGTGTGCCTTTGAGGAGTTTATATTCTAGGGACAGATGAATAAATGGCAACAGGTAAAACTGTAAACATAGGACTTAATGCCCTTTCTATGTGATTATGCATGACATCACAGCCACCTTGGGAGCTTTTTGAAAAATACAGATGCCCTAGTGCCACTCCCAACTAGTCCAGACAGAAGGTGTCCATGGAGCTGGGCCTGGCCTGTCTCTGAGGCCCCCCCGGGTGGCTCTGATCCACAGCCAGAGTTTTGAACCACTGAGCTTTCAGCAACTACAAATTTCTATGATTAGGGACGAAACCAGGAAGCATTTAAGGAATTACATTTATAAGCAGCAGAAGGAGAAGGAGGAAGAGGAGGGACGGGGAGGAGGAGGACGCAGTAATCATTAACTTAATTCCTCTAAAAAGCTGTTGATTCTATTCACACAATGCAGAGTTCAGTCCTGAGCAGGTAAGTTGCAAGGGAAGAAATGAAGAACTGTTTATTTTTGTGGAGACTACTGGGCTCTTCGCCTTCCTGTTGATGTACAAGTAGTTCTTAAAAGATAGATAATGCATGTATAGGAGATATTTTTAAAAGAATGCAGCCACAAACATGGCATTAAGTTTTAATCATGCTACCACTTACTTGGTAAAAATTTTTCAAAATTAAGTGCCAATGCCAGATAAACTATCAAAACCAACCTGAAAAAGCTATGATTAGATTTGAGCCACGCCTTAAGTCTGCCTTAGAATTCACATCATGATCCATTCTAAGAGCTGAGGTTGAAAAACAAACCAATGAATTAAAGGGAATTAATTACTTTAAAAATTTAAACTTAATTCTAGCATAGACTGTAATCATTACCTTCCAAGAGATCCCAGAAAATACAAAGTTAATGTCTGCCTACTTCAGAGTTTTCTATTGGAAAACAGGGGTGTGTGAAAAACTGTAATATAGTGATTGGTACGGTAGAGGCATGTTCCAGATGAAAAGTGAGCACGGAGGCGAGAGGCAACATTTGGGCAGTCAATCCTTAAACAGAACTGGGAATTAGATATTGGGAATAGGAAAAAGTAAAATGTTTTAGAAGATGGTGGCCTGAGAATGAAAATGTTATGAAAAAGCACTGGTATGTTTAGGGAAAAGACAGTAGAAAAATTGGGCTGATCCATATTTCTCAAGAGAAGAAATACTAGAGAGTTAAGTTTTTAAAACACATCATAGTGGAAATTTACTGATTGGCCTCACTCAATAATTGGGGGAACGGGGTAGTCCGTTCAGTGTAAGAGGCAAGCAGAGGAGGAGAAGAAAGACATTTTGGGAATGAAAAGGAAACTACCTATGGAATAGATACTATTATTTCTCCTATTTTAAAGAAGAACAATGTAAAGAATAAAGTAATTCATTCATTTCCCCTGGTCTCAGAGCCTGAAGAGCTAACTCCAGAAAATTGATAATAAGACAAATATTTACTGTCCATAGTTATACGCGTGATTCCTATCCACGGTAATTTCGTCAGCTTGACGCTATAAATCTCTGTAAGTCAAATCCTCGTTTCAGCTGATTGCAAACTATGACTGACCAGTCTGAAAAGGCGTTATGCTGTATGATCCCAACTCTATGACATTCTGGGAAAGGTCAAACTGTAAAGACAGTGAAATGAACAACGGTTGCCAGGGGCTCGGGGGAAAGGAGAGGGCTGATCAGATGGAGCCCAGGGCATCTTTAGGTCAGTGAAACTCTCCTGTATGAGACTGCGATGGTGGATATATGATATTGCTCATTTGTCAAAACACAGACTGAGCCCTAATATAAACTACAGTCTTTGGCTAATAATAATGAATCATATTGGTTAATCAGTTGTAATAAGTGTATCCCACAAACGCAAGGTGTTAGTGATAGGGGGGACTGCCCTGTGATGGCTTCTTCCGTTATATCTCAAAAACGATGTCTCTTTCAAATGATCAAATAAATGCCCTCTATTTCCCATAAAAACTCTTATAGCAAGTGGTTAATTAAATGTCAGGGACTCCTAATTCTCACAAATCTTGGAGCAAGGGATATTGGTTGTTCAACATCTGAAACGTTCTCCCGAATGACAAATGTGCAACACTTTCACCTTCACCTCAGAGAACGCGGCAAAGTCCAGCCTTCACCTGGCCAGCATTAGCAAGCGCAATTTATCTGATTCACAAGTTAAAAAGGGAACGCTAGGAAAGCTTTAGG